GTGTGGGAAAATTCACGTGACACATCGGATAATGATCATGCTCCACGTGGCCCAGTGCCTGTCATGCCACGTAGTCCTCGACGCCCAAGAAGATCCTTCCCCTCTGAAAAATGCGAGAGCCAAGCACACAGAAGGTGTACCGGTTACTCCATATGCCTGGTCAGGAGCCAAGTGCTACGATAGGATCGGCGCCTTAGGGCGCAGGTGCCGAGGGTAAGCCGTGATCAACAGGGCCCATACGCTGAGAAAGGGCCTTGAGAGGGCGGGTCGGGCAAGTCGGGCAGGCGGGAAAAATTCGGGCAAAATTCAAAAATTCGGGCTTCGGGTCGGGCAATTCGGGCACACCCAATTTTCGGGCAATTTTCGGGTCGGGCAGTTCGGGCTTGGTCGGAAAAATGCAAAAAAATCCCGGCGGACGGCGGTATACGGTGGTTAGACGGCGGCGGGCAAGGGTGGACATGTCAAATCCGGGCTACCCGAGCCCGAACCCGAATTTTTTGCTTGGACGGGCGGGAATTGGGCCGGCCCGCCCGAGCCCGAAAAAATTCGGGCTTCGGGCGGCCCGCCGACCCGAAGTTCCAGCACTAGTGTTAGACACAGCGGCGTCGATAGTCAAGAGGGAGTCTTGGGTTGGTTAAGTCCGATTGGTGTCTGTAACTTTGTACCTATTAGTGGATTGCTTGATGTCTGGGCGTGGCCTCGTGGATGTAGATCGGTTTGACTGAATCACGTTTAATCGTTGTGTGGTATTTACTCTGCTTTTGTGTTTTGCTTTGGTAATCCTTAATCAATTTTATAAGAAAAACACAGTAAAAGCACATAACCGGTTCTAACAAAGACAAATCCACGGTTAAGAGGAAAATTTCCAAAACTTAGAAAACACAACTTTGATATTCAACATCTCAAATATTCAAACGACATAGCAAATATAAAAAATGATTATTACAAGCTAAATTCTCCTAAATCACTCGTTCCTTGAGAGATTTGGCACTTGGAGGCATTGTACGTACAGAGTTATATATGGTATTTTTAGTTTGAGTTCTTTACACAAAATCTGTCTTCTTTTTAGAGGGGTACTGTATTGAATTGTGGCTTTACTATCAAAAATCACTAACATGATTTTATCAACAACAACAACAAAAATCACTAACATGACTGGCTTTTAAATTGCAGTTTTTGAGCTGCCAAAAACACCATTGAGTTACTCCTCAAAAAAAAAAAACAAAAAAAAAAAATTTATATATATCACTATGTTGGTTACTTTTTTAAGGGTGGTTTTATTATACATCCACTTGACTTTGGGCATACCATTTTAAATCATAATTTTTTGTTACAAAAAGACTCTCATAACATGACCAAAAAATATGACAATTATAATAGAGTTCATTACGCAATCACTAGAATTTTTTTTTCTTCCCACGCACCCACGTACCATATCCTCAAGAAAACAATTTTTATACAAATAATAATTTGTGTCGAGATGAATAATAAGTGCATTCCCCTTTAATATATAGTTATAGATTATGATGAGTATCTACTTCCTATATGGAAATTATTTATCCTGACCATTATGGTTGAAAGTACCGGGTTGAGTCTTTTTGATATTTTTAATAAAACAAGGTGAATAAAGTAAAAAATATAGAATAAAAGAACACAAGAGAAATGGTATCGCAGTTCGGTTAACAACCTACTCCGCGGGGCCTTGCCCAGAGAATGATCAATCCACTAAGAACTTTTTACAACTCAAATGGACTTAAACTACTCGAGACTCCCTCTCAAAGAAGACGCCTATGAACTTGTAAATTTCCTATGAACTTAATCAGCGAGATCCCCTCGACTCTTTACGTTGGAATCCCTCCAACTATGTTTTTCACAAAAACACACTCAAATCATTTCTCTTGTATGAAAGCACAAACCCGCACCTCTCTCACGACACATCAAAGACAACTCAGAAGAGGTAACTATTACAAGAAAACTTCTTTGAATAAATAGGCAGAAATATCACAATTGGACGATATCTTCATTTAATCCACAGAATCAATTCTGTTGCAAATCCTTGTTACAACAATAACTACAACATAACTGTAAAAGATATCTTCCTTATACTCAGACGAATCAATCATCATTAAGTCTGAAAACTTTCCAATCCTGATCTTTGAACCTAGACATATTCTTGGGAAACAAAGAATGATCATCCAGCTATGAAATCATAATCAAATATCAATCTTCTGTTTTTGGCTACAAAGTTGACTTTATAAAAACAGAAACGAAACCATGATTGCTGATCCTTTGAAACTTGCCTTTTGAAACCTATTAACAGCACAGCTAATTCCATACGCAGGCAGCCAGCCAAGATTTCCCAAAATAATGCCAATCAATTATAATTAGAATCAAACAAAAATGTGGGAAACAAATCCCAACAATGGTGTTGGTTCTCCAAGCAAAAGCACCCGCTATATATTAAGGAAATTTATATCAGATTAGACCAATGCTAATTTGATTTTATGTATAACACTTTCATTTAAATAAATCACAATCTCTAGTGATAACCATTTATGTAATTATATTCTTGTGTGGATAAATGATCATTTCATATTTATGGGTCAATATCTCTTTTAATATACAAAAAGGTGAGACTCCTTGAATTGATTATTTAATCAAACAAAAACTTTGTTATTATTGTATATATGTATCACTCTTGGGAAATTCGACCGCACTATAGCTATACCTCCCAGGGAAACCCTGGTACTCCAAGCAGTGCTAAAAAAGGACCACAAAATGTTCTCTTCACGTTAAAAACCTTAAAACTAAAACATATTGCATAAAATATTGTAACTAATATGTTCAATTACTATGCTATTAGGACATGATTATCTCTGTAAAGTTTTAAAAGTAATTCATTAATTTAAGTACAAAGAGTAACACTTAAATTTCTTTAGTTTTGATGTACTATAAGTGAAAGGAAATTGCGTTTTGTATTTTGGAAATTTTTCTATGAAAGAAAAATTTTCTAGCCTGCCAAAGTTTAGACACCTATAATTTGCAACTCTTTAGTTTGGTTTATTTAAAAAATAAAATAAAATGAAAAGGTCCAAAACAACCCTCTTCTCTGGCTCAACAAAAAGGTTATATCCATTCCATTAATTAATTATCTACATATACTTACATTCTGTCAAAAACATCTTTATTAATTGTTCTATTTTTTTTTTCTTGGAATAATTATCTGTATAGATAAATGGAAACATATATATATATATGGTTGCATCCATAACTGGCGTGTTAGTGAAACATGTACGATTATGAGTAATAATCTTGAAACAGAAAAAACCTTAAACAAAAATACACAAGTACTAAAACTACTCTATGCGCTAAAGGAACCATATAAAACAACAATTTACTATAAGTGGCGATACTTTACTCACATAACCGTGAAAGTGTTTCTACACCAGTATTAACTAGGTGTTGAGCTGTTACAAAATGGTATTTAAGAACGATTTCTCTCTGTGAAGATAATTTGAATCTGAGAGAGAGAAAGAGAGAGTTCCGAGAAGGAAAGAGAAACTAAGGCCAAGAAGGCTCAGCAAAAAGAGATGGATTCAGCAGATCAAGTCTCTCAATCCCAAACTCCCGAAAGAGTGCCTGGTGGATGGAAATCGGTCAAATATATCCTTGGTAAATATTCATGTCGTTTTGTCGTTTCGCTCCATCCATGCATGCCTTTTGTTTATTATGAATTCCTATAAATTATAGGTGCATAAATTGTCATGGAAAACTATACGATTTTTATGTTGGAATCTGCGGATACCCTAATACATATATGATCATGTGTGTGTGTATATATGTATATATATGTATATATATATATATATATATAATCTAGCGCTTGAACAATATTTTATAAATTTCTCATGTCGTTTATTGTAATTTTGAAGGGAACGAGACGTTTGAGAAGATGGCCGCGATGAGCTTGATGGCGAATTTAGTGTTGTATCTGCGCAACATGTACAACTTGGATAACATAACTTCGATTAATATAGCCATTATATGGAGTGGTTTCAGCAATTTTTTACCTTTGGTCGGTGCATTCATTGCCGACGCTTATCTGGGAAAGTTTAATACCGTACTTTGTGGCACCATTTCTTCCCTTCTGGTAAGTCAATGTTTACTATCGTTGTTGTATATATGATTTGTTTATGGATGTTTACAAGCATTAACAACAAAATAACACCCATCTCTCTACTAATAATTAGACCTATAATTCCTTCTTTTTTTTTTCTGTGTCTTTGACGCACATAATAACAATTTCCTATGTAAACATGCTACATAGATATTTCACGAACACAATAGCTTTTTGCTTCTTTGTATATTTTCCTCTACAACCTTCTATTAGTTAGCCAACATTGGCTCTCCATTAAAATAACAACAATTTCATTCCTTATTTTCAAATAAAAAATGCAGAGTAACTCTAATTAAAGCATGATTTGACTCGCAATTTAAATCACAATTCAAATCTTCATATAACTATATTATTTTCTCTCAGAAATCAGAGTAACTCTAATTAAAGTATGGTTTAGCTCGCAATTTGAATCACAATTCAAATCTTCATATAACTATATTATTTTCTCTTAAAAATTTAAATTTTTGTTCGAACCTTATGATCGAATGTATGAATCAAACATACTAGTGATCTATATATATGTCTCAGTGTTTGTTGGATTGGTGTTATTCCCTTATTTTAACTAAAAAATGGGGGCAATCTAGTTCCTGATGACATTGATTTTCACGTTTTAATCGTGTCAAAATCATTAAAAAAAATAGTTATTATCTATTGTTTCTAATATTAGTGCGTCATTTTTCGTTAATTGTCTTTAACTATTTCTATTGCCAAAGTTCCAAACCTGCAGTACTGCATGCCAAAAAGCCTAACAATTTTTTTTGTTTTCATCTTTTTCTTGATTACAGAAGCTAATTATGAACTTCTTTTATTCCTCTAACAGGGCATGGCAACAATGACTCTCACTGCAGGTCTACCGTCCTTAAGGCCCTCCCACTGCGACGGCCAATCCAACTGCCACAACCCGGCTCATCCGTGGCAGATGGCCATTCTCTACATCTCGCTCGGATTCATCGCAATCGGTGCCGGCGGCATTCGTCCCTGCAACATCTCCTTCGGCGCCGACCAATTCGACACCGCCACGGAGAAAGGGAAACAGCAGCTGGCCAGCTTCTGCAACTGGTACTTCTTCCTCTTCACCGTCGCGATCATCTTCGTCCTCACCGGCGTCACCTACGTTCAGACAAACGTCAGCTGGTTCTTCGGCTTCCTAATCCCAACTTTCTGCTTCATCTTCTCAATAGCAGTTTTCTTGTTCGGACGCCACACTTACATCCTCGTCAAACCTCAAGGAAGCATCTTCCTAGACATGGTGAAAGTAATTGTCGCGGCATTTCGGAAACGAAGTACCATTAACGTCGGAAAACCACCGTTCTACGACCCGATCGTCTCGGACGAGATAAAGCTCGCTAGAACAAGCAGGCTGAGGTTTTTCGACAAGGGGGCCATGATTGTAGACCCCAGTGAAGTGGACAGCAACGGAAAATCCAAAAACAGCTGGAGATTATGCACTGTACAAAACGTCGAACAGTTAAAGTCCATGTTAACTATAGTCCCGGTTTTGATAACCGTGGTTGGCTGTTTCATACCCATGAGCCAACCCGGAACTTTCGGGATCCTCCAAGCCATTCAGATGAACAGAACAATCGGGAAAAAGGGTTTCCAAATCCCACCGGCCTGGGTCAATCTCACCATAATGCTAACCCTCTCGATCTGGGTCTTCTTCTACGAGAAAATCTACATCCCAGTTCTGGAGAAACGGAGGAAAAAAAACAACGTTAGATTAACAGTTACACAAAGACTCAACATCGGAATCATACTCTCAATCATCTGCATGGTTGTCGCCGGGATCGTCGAGAAAAAGCGGAGAGAATCGGCTCTGAAACACGGTTCCTTCGAAGCTCCGATGTCGGTTTTTTATCTTATGTTGCCGTTCGCGTTGGCGGGCTTGGTCGAGGCCTTTGCAGCGGTGACATTGATGGAGCACTTGACGACGCGGTGGCCGGAGAGAATGAGGACCGTCGCCGGAGGGATCTTCTTCTTGAGCTTGTCGGTGTCGAGCTATCTGAACTCCATAATTGTCGAGGTAATCGACAAGGTGACGGCGACGAATGGGAGATCGCCGTGGCTGAGTGGAGACAACTTTAACAAGAACAGGCTTGATTACTATTACTACGTGATTGGTGGTGTTGGGGTTTTGAATTTGGTGTATTTTCATGTCTCGGCCAAGCATTACTTGGGTGGTAGTCGAGTGGCTGACGACTCCGAATTAGCAGAGTCGAAAGACTCTGAGGAAGGGTTGGCCATGAAAGAAATTGTCTAGCCCGGGAAATTAAGTACAAAACAATTCGTTGTCTCGCCATTTTGACTTTTCTTTACTGTATACGGTTATGGTAATTAGAAATTCGGTTCAGTAGTTCTGTCAAGAATTTGGTTAAAATAATAAAATGAAAAAGTAAAATTAGGAAAATAATTTTTTAATTTTAATTTTATTTATTTTTAGAGAAAGTGAAAGTTCACCGTCGGAAGTGAAAATTCACCGCCGAAATCAATGGCGCCTCCACTCCTGCAAAATCAAATATCAAGATTTCAATTTTCATTTTAATTTCTGTTTACCTCCTTTAAATAAAATTGTACGTAAATCTCGTATCTCCCAAAAATAAAAAAATAAAAAATGTAAACCTCATTGAAAAAAAAGAGAAAAAGAGTTTTACTGGATAAGAAATTGCCTGTGCTCATAGGCTGTTAATGGAGACGAGAGGCGATTTGATTGTATTTGTATGGCTACAAATGAATGCAGTAATAGCGTCAAAAAAAAAAAATCATTTTACAAATAAAAATTTTTAAAAAGTTATTTTATTAATAAAATTTTTTTATTGAGTTATTTTTATAAATGTCTCGTTGTGTCACCATTTTTCTTTTTTCTTCTTTTAACTTACCATTTTTCACTTTTTAAATGTATATAGTTCTTTTACGCGGAAGTTTTTATGCGATTCTCTGGCTCTTTTTGGTTAATTTTGAATTGTTCCGAAAAATAACGGTCGTCTATTTATATTCTAGAAGTTAAAAGAGGTTACAAATTTGATACGTCATGGAGACGTCAATATTTATTATTTAATATGTTTAATTACTTATGGGTTATAATTTATATAAAGGCTTGGTAAGAATAATATAATAAATTTCAACAAAATATACTTTTAAATTTTAAAACATTAAGAAAAAAACATGAATTCTCCGTCGCTCTAATCCTAGGTAGCGTCTTTCTTTACTTGCAAATGCATTGTCATCCCTATCCTATATATTGATCATGTGATCTCGTGCGTGAATAAAGCGTTAAAATTGGCGTCTTATTAACAGAAGTGTCAAATTTGTAATTATGATAAGCGCCAAGAGATATAGGGTTGCTAGTTTTAAGCTATAATTTTTAGTTATAAGAGACAAAGTAAGGTCCATTTATTTTACCGATTTGAGTTTAAAATATAAATTTTATTATAGTAAAAAGCTCTTAAAAATAATCACATTTAACTTTTTTGTTATAATAAAAAACTCTCACATAAAGTCACATCTCAACTCGAATCAGCGAACTAAATGGGCTCTAAGACAATTTTTAAGTTTAAAATTAGAGAGGGGGCAAGACTGTTAAACAGCCACCGGTAAACAGTCGCCAGAGCAAGCCACCGATTACCCAAAAACAGTCGTCGGTCACCGGTGCCAGTCATGGTAGACTGAATTATAATCTACTTATTTTAAAAAAACTATGTTACAATTTACTATTTTTAAAAAATAGATGTTTAGGGAGAAAGAGTGAGGTGGAAAAAAAAATTTAGGGGTATTTTTACGTTTTTAATAATGTTTAAAACTTAAACTATCAAATTATGTTATTATCTACTATTTTAAAAGAATATGCTATAATTTACTAATTATTGTACCAATTATGTTATTTCAATCACTAAAAAAAAAAAAAAAAAAAAAAAAACTTTTAGCAATGACTTGCCTATTAAAAATATAGTGCATGTTTAGAACCGTTTTTTGAAATAGTTTTCACGTATTTCGAGAAGCAAAAGATGAAAACGAAACGACGTTTGTTTAATAAATGTTTTAAAAATAAAAATAAAAACGAAAAAAGTAAGAATGGTTTTTATGAAAGATATAGAAAACAGTTAAAAGTTGTATTCACTTTTCTATTTTCATTTTTTAGTACTTATCAATAATATTATAATATATTAATTAATAAACAAGATTTCACTTTTTTATTATACTCAAAATAATTTCTTAAAAAATCAACTAAATGCAATTTCAGAATCGGTCTCACAATAATTCTCAAAACAATCTCATTTTTACTTTTTATTGAAAATAAAATTATTTTAAAATCAATTCTAAACGCATCCATAATCTCTATGTAATTTTACATGTTTTTTTTTTCTTTTCTCCTTTTTTTTTCTCTCTCTCTCTTCTTTTGATTTGCGTCCCATTGCCCCTCCTCCTACACCCCTCCCTCCCTTTCTCTTATTATATCTCTCTCCTAATTTTCTTTATATTTTTATGCAAACCCTATGTCCCTAATCTCTACCGAAGCCAATCGCCTCACGTTTTTCTCCATTCACCCCTAAATTAACTTCTTACTATGTGCTTGTTTTTTTTTCACTCATTTTTTTAATTATTCTTTTTCCACGTTTATTGATGACTAAAATTTGGATTAAAAAATAATTAAAACCCAACCGTGAATAAATTTGGGTTAAAATAAATAAAAATAAAAACTCATGCCATTAATTAGCAGATGACATCTCAATTTTCATGATGAAAATTAATTCCATTATCAATTGGATATTTTCCAGTTGATGGGGCTAATTGTGAAAAATATTTGGTCAAACATCACATTACCAATAAACTAAAAGTTCGGGGACGAGAATGAAAATAAGTCAAAACGGCTTTATTTCCCGCGCCGTCTCTGTATGTGAAAATCTGATATATTCTATCTCCATCTTCCGCTACACCTCTCTATATTCTTCTTAATTAATCCCTAAACGTCTCTCTCTCTCTCTCTCTCTCTCTCTCTCTCTCTCTCTCTCTCTCTCCTCTTAAAATCTATCAGCCATGACAAGCGCCATCCGTCGACTCCTCTTGCCATGCTTTTGCCCCGCCACCGTCTCCGATGGCGGCGCAACCGCCGTCACCACCACCAAGAAACGCCTGAGCACCTCGCTGCGCGACGACAACCCCCAAGACCCAAACGACAACGACCAAGATTCCTCTCCATCTCCTTCCTCATCCCCGACTGCGGACTCCATCTTCTTCTTCTTCCCGCCTTCCTCCGCCGCCCCGGCGCAACCCCGGCCGTCGAAGTCAATGGTGATTGGGACAATCTTCGGCGCCCGCCGCGGCCACGTCTGGTTCTGCATCCAGCATGACCGCCTCTCGTCAAAACCCCTCATTCTGCTCGAGTTCCCGATCGTCACTCACCAGCTCGTCAACGAGATGCGATTCGGCATCGTGCGGATCGCCCTCGAGTGCGATCGGTCGGATCTCGGGGCGTGCCCGCTCCGATCGGTGCCGGTCTGGACGATGTTCTGCAACGGCCGGCAATTAGGTTTCGCGGCGAGGAGGAGGGCGAGCGATTGGGTCAAATTGATGCTGAAGACGATGAGCTCCACGACGGTTGGAGCCGGTGTCATGCCGATTAGGTCCGGGCTCGAATTGGGATCGGCTTCGGAAGAAGTGATGTACATGAGAGCTAATTACGAGCACATGGTGGGGAGTGCTGATTCCGAGTCGTTTTACCTGATTAACCCGGACGAATGTCCGAGTCAAGAACTCAGTGTCTTCTTGCTCAGATCCGGGAATGGGGTTTGTCGTTAAAGGGAAGTGGAAGATGGGATTTTGTAAACAACATCAAGAATTTTGTAGTTGGGAGATTTTTCTCAGTGAAAACTAGTCGTTTTCTTTGTATTTATGGGGTGGTGTTGGAGATTCTTTCTTGAGGAAACGTTTTCTTTAGTTTAGAAGATAATGTACATAGTTGGTAATACTATGTAGGTTGATAACTTTTTTAGGACCACTTGAGAAACACTTTCTATTTAAATTGGGCATCATGTAAAATGTTAGAAAGATAGTTGATAATCTAGTACCTTTTTTGTTTTTTTCTTTCTTTCTTTGAATCTTGAGACATTATTATGATCACTTTTAATGTTGAGTACTTTGGCAAAACACAAGTACATGAAGAGTTTGTTTGTTTGTTTTCGGAACTTTTTATTATTATTATTATTATTATTTTGTTGGAACTCTGAACTTTTTAATTGGTTGCTTGAATTGTTGTCTTTGCTCTGAGTATAATTAATATCCAACATTTCAACACAAGTACATGACTACTTTTTAGAAGATTTTTTGGAAAGAGATTTTTGTTTCCTTTTAATTTGCCCTTTTTGGCTGGGTTGTGGTTGCAATAGGAGATAATAGTTTTTTTTTTTTTTTTAGGAGATAATAGTTGGTATTATTAGTTCAGTAGGTTGATGAGATCTTGGACCAACTTCAACAGAACAGTAACAGTCAAAAAGGAAAAAAGAAAAAGAAATGGAAATGGAAAAAAGAACAGTAAACTTTTGAAATTCGTTGGGAATACGAGACATTATGACCTTTTTCTTTGATGTAATGACGCTGAATACTTTGACCAATACAAGTACGGGAAGGTTTGTTTTTACTGTCTTTCATGATTTCGCATCTTATTCTCAGTTTTTCCAAGTATTGACTAGTCTCAACCGTAGTCTTACGGTAAAACAAGCAATCTCGTTCAATTCACTAATTTAAATTTTTAATTTGAGTTAAAATGTAATTTTATGTGAAAATTTTTTACTGTAGTAAAAAAATTAGATGTGACTGTTTATGAGAGCTTTTCACTGTAGTAAAACTCAAATTATAAACTCGAATCAGCGAAATGAACGAGACCATTTCACAAGTAAAGTAAAGTCTCATTTATTTCACCGATTTGAGTTTTCAGTTCTAGGTTTTTACAGTAAAAACCTCTTAAAAAATGTCACATGTAACTTTTTTTGCTACAGTAAAAAGCTCTCAGAAAATATCACATCTCAATTCGAATTAAAAACTCGAATCCGTAAAGTGAACGAGACCTAAATATTTTTATTGTTAACTGTAAAAAAACTACTGAGGATTCCCAAATTTCAACAAATTTAACTATAAAAAAACTAATCTAATGATTAAAAATACTTACTCTATAAAGTAAAATAGCTTGCTCCGAAGGATTCCCAAATTTTAACATAAAATACATAAAAAGTTTTTTTGTCTTAACATGAAGTTCTACGGTGGTTTTAGATTTGACGTAACCCTTTTTTTCATTGAGGATTAATTTTAAAAATTCTCTCTAAATTATTATTTTTATAACATTTTATTTTTTAAATTTTAAAAGGTAACATTCATTTCTTTTTAATTTTGTTTCGTTAATAAATTTTTCTTTTCTGTTACAATAAGTGATGAAATTATCACGTATTATTTATTTAATGAGAATTAAAAGTGCAATTACGTTTAACCATCCTATTCAGATAATTCTCTATTTTTATTAAAAATTCACCATCTTCGTTTAGATTTTGCTTCTTTTTTTCCCCACCTCCTCGCCTATGATGATGGATGGGCTGCTCTCAAGTTGGTAAACTCAAGATCATGGCTTCAAAGTAACAAGGACTCAATGGTTTATATACATTTGGCAATGAACCTTGAACACCCTCTCTCTCTCTCTCACTGCGAAACATGTTGTCTCGCAAATCTGTGAAATGGGTTCTACTTTTGATGATGATCTCTATGTCCGTGTTGGAATTATCCAGCTCCAAAATTGATCCTCAGCTATACATATATACATACACATATATATAGAGAGGGAGAAAGAGAAATACCTGGAAAATGACGAAATGAAAGGGGATCTCAGCTAAAACCCATGAAGCATTTAAACTTTTGAGCTTTAGTAAAAGGTAAAGCTTTTCTTTTGTTATGGAAATCCACCGGAAAACGATGAGAGAAAGGGAGAGAGAGATAGTTCAGTTAGAGAGAGAAAGAGACGAAAATGGTGAATCATCAGCTCTAAAATTGATGGTGAAAACCATGCAATTATCTGATTAGATAGGTATAAACGTAATTATATTTTTAATTTTTATTAAATAAGTGACACGTGATAATTTTATCACTTATTATAACAGAAATGAAAAATTTATTAATAAAATAAAGTTAAGAGAAAACATATGTTACTTTTTAAAATTTAAAAGATAAAGTGTTATAAGGATTATAGATTTTATGGAGAAAAATTTTTAAAATTAATCGTTTCACCAAAGAAAATGCCCACTATCACTAAATCTGATATCTTTTTTATTTTTATTTTTGCTTTTGTTTTAAGTTTAGAATCTAATCTCCTATGTACGGATAGTGCTATTGTGAAATTGAACTTTCAAAGGCCCTGTTATTCCAACAAAGATTCCACTAGTTTTATTTCTTGTGGCCCCCACAGTCCAAATCTGTCAGTATTCATATATGCTCAATCTAATAATTAAAATATCTGTACTGCTTTAGTACTATTAACATATTAATCGTAATCAATTATCAACTGTTTATGAACTGTGCAGGATCTGTTCTGATTAATATGAATGGTCTGAGTTTTTGAACGTTATCACCTACAAGACAGAAGATTCCTATCTTCGTAAGCCTTACATTTTTTTCTGTTCTCTTTTTTTTTTTTTGGGAGTTTCGTAAGGTTTCTTTTGTTTTGTTTTAATATTTGATCATGTCCATCGAAGTAAGGGTGGCAATTGCGGTATTGTATTCGTGTCGTATTAGGACCCGTTTAGTTCGTTGATTCGAATTTTTAATTTAAGTTGAGATGTGATTTTATGTGAGAGCTTTTTATTGTAGCAAAAAAGTTAGATGTGACTGTTTCTGAGAGCTTTTTACTGTTGCAAAACTTGAATTCTAAACTCGAATCGGTAAAGTGAACGGGGCCTTAATCTTCTGAGTTAATACAGTAAAGTTTAATACGAATACGATTAATTTATTATGCATGTCGAAATATAAAATTCAAACACGACTTGTATATTAACAGGTTGACAAGACACGACACGACTAACTTGTTTATTAAACAGATTATAATAGTGTCGTGTCAATCTGTTTCTCCCGTTTATAAAATGAGTTATAATAAGATCGTGTCAACCTATTTCTCAACTTGTTTTTCTTTAAAATGATATATATTTGTAAATATAGGTAATAAACGGGTTGTAATTGTGTTGTGTATTTATGTTATCTAAATATGACACGTTTAATAAAAGAATTATGGTGAGTCAATTATGAGTTGACAGGTCAACTTAAAAACGATACGCTATTTCATTTTGTTTTATGAGTTTGACATGATTTAGACTTAAATATATTTATGATAAATTCAAACCTATTAATTTTATGTGAATTTCAAATCGTGTTTCGCTACCTGAATGGTGAGTACTACATCCAAGTATGTGGACCACTTAAAAACCACCAGAGAATAATAAGAAAAAAAGAGGTAACTATCACCTATTAGTGGCAACTCATCTACAAATATGAGCTTACCAATAATGAAACCAGAAAAGGGCATTATAAATTAAAGTTGTTCTAATGCACTAACATCCAAGAGGTTTTAATTAGTCTTGACTGTAGAGAACCATTACCCTCACAGAGATTTTTTTTTCTTCCTTCTACAACTGTTCTGATATTAACAGTGTCTAATGCATACAAAAGTTTTTAGATTTGTTCAAAGGAAATCCAAAAACGCATGGGCTTATAGGGGGAACCGTGAAAATATCATAATTCAGAATTAAACCTCCACCACCTAAATATAGTTATCTTGAGAAACAACTTGTTTATAGCTTTGAACTATATATGTTTTGTTTTTACATAAGATCAGAAGGTTCTGAAGTGTCTCAACTTAGTAAGAAGTAAAGCCATCTGCTTGATCTTCTGATTTTTAAGATGTTGGAGGGAAAAGCAGTGGTGCGCGAGACCGATATGTCGCAGATAATGCAGAGCCATGTCATGGAGTTGGCTTACAAGGCCCTTGATCTGCATGAAGTTTCTGATTGTCAGTCCATTGCTCATTACATCAAGCAGGTTCACTTTGTTTCCTTAGATACCCTTTACTAGTATCAATGAATTTTTATTTTCATATATGCTTACAGTTTAAAAGAATGGAAATGGAAGTATCTTTTTTAATAGTGTATTTTTTGTTAGCAGCTTATCCTAAAAGGCCATAAGTAAAGAATAATGGGTTTTTTTTTTTTTTTTTTTTTTTTTTTCAAAAGCACTGCATGGAAAGAAAGATACAAATTCTAACTTTGAAACAAGGAACTGTTTGAAGTTATTCCCGAAAAGGGAAAACCATTTCTAAATTAGATCAAGCAAATCTTAGCAACCACTTTTGGCCAAATATAGCTTGTTTAAACGTTTCATCAAATTGTTTCATTGGAACAAAGTTAAATCTTGGGGTTCAAGAATTAAAATTGCTTGAGATTCTTTTTTGTCGTTTTTATCTCTACTTGTTTAATGGTTTTAGGGGGAGAGGTAATTAGGTTGAGCTATAGACTGAATCTTGTGTCACTAAAAGGACAGATAAAAGTATTAATTATAAGTTGAGTATATATTCTTCTTCAACTTTTGTCTACATATATACTCTGTCAAATATTCTTTTGGAATTGGAATGTAGTTGCCTTATTTGCCTAAGTGAATAGTGATAGAGGCTGATCTGAAGCTGCTGCAAAAGGCGCTAATTCGTAACTGTCACTTTCAATAAGCATTGCACTAATCTATTGTGGGATAAGACATTACAGAATTTAGTGTTTGAGTATAAAAATTACCCAGCAAAGTTCTTAATGCATTAAAGGGCCCCAGAAATACTTTGCTAACAGACTGTTCAATGTGATACTGTGATAACTCATAGCTTCCGTTTTTCACACTCGTTCCAGAAATCAAAAATATAGGATAATAGAATTTTTCTTTCAGTACTAGATTATCCCTAGGACTTTATGAATGAACAAAGTTCCAAGAATTTTGTCATGACACTGTTTGATTGTATAAGAAATTTAGCATTAACTTGTGACAGAGAACTGACATGTTATTCTATCACGCAATCCTCAGCTTCAAGTCGTGTTCGTTAATGCTAAAATGTAATTTCATTTTCATTTCGATTAAGAATACTTATAGGAACACTAACTCTAATCTCAACTTTTGTACCAAGTCAATCAATTATCGTTATTTCATTGGTATATGTTTTCGCCACATCAATTAATAATAAGAGGTTTCACCTACCAATGTAAAAATAGTAACTTGGCTGTTGGTACAAAAGTTGGGATTAGAGTTGGTGTTCTTAGCTTCTTGGATTAAAATGTCTGAGATTAAGCTCTGCATGAACTCAGCTTATGACATTTCAATTTGCTTCGCAGAAGTTTGATGAAGCTTATGGGCCCGCATGGCACTGTGTGGTCGGCAACGACTTCGGATCTTGCATTACGCATTTGTGTGGAAGTTTCATTTTCTTCCATGTGGAGATGATGGAGTTTCTTATCTTCAAGGATGGCAAAGACATTAATGAAAGCAAGGATGAGGCTATTGGAGTACTGAAGAGAGCAAATATAAATGTTTCATAAGATCTCACATCACATGTATTACTTTTCATTGCAAGAGAAATTAGATTCTAGAAATGCTAAATATACAACTCTGGTTGGAAATAAGCACTTTCTTGACAAATCAGCAACCTGTTATTTGGATTTAGTGACTACATCAATCCTGTTTCTTCAACTTAATAATATATATACATACATTTAAGCATCTATGACTATACTATGTTTAGAAATTATAGAGTATCTCCATCAAGGAGAAGACAGAACCACATGAAACGCTCCAACATTTATAGAATTGTTTCTTTCAAACTTTTTAAGCATAGCGAGTGGTCCATTGTAGCTCTTCAAATATACAAATTTCAAATTCTGCTGATATACCAGGCCAAGAGGCTTTAGAGATATTGGTCTGATCTTCATCACAAAATATCAAGGTTTTAATATCCTGAATTTGAAAACAGCTTGAGGACATGTCTCGGAAGCATAAATCTCAATATGCGGCAATCTTTCATCTGCAGTGAGCCATCAAAATTGGTTTGAACTTTCTGCATTTCTTGATTAATTGAGTTTTTGGAGCTGTTTTAGTTCAGGGCTTATGATGCAAGGATCATCACCTGCATGAGCCACAAAGACAAAACAAGAAAGAAGATTAACAAAAGCCAAAACGATATATTGTGGGCACATCTAGTAGTTTAACTTGCCTGTTAAGTTGATCATGACCAACTCTTGCATTGTCAGTAAGGGTGAGGTAATCTGCAACCCAAGGTCTAGAATACAACAAAAACATCGTCATCTAAACCTCAGGATGCAGATTACCCGATCCTAACACAATAATCAACTCCGATGGGAGCAAGTGGTTTAGCTTCTTGATATCAGGTTAATCAACAACTATTGCATTGCCAGAAAGGAAGAGGTAATCTGCATCCCGAGTGCTAGATTCAACCAACATATAGCGATCTAAACCTCAGAATGCAGATTACCACATCCTGACACAATATAAACTAAACTCCATGAAAAAGAAGATGGGAGAGAAAAGAGAACTGTTTTATTAGTACAAGCTTTGTAGTAAGGTTGGTTGAGGCCCCTATGCATATTTATAATAGTTTCTAAAGTTAATGGGGTACATATGGCATCAAATATCAATCAATGATCATGTCCCCTTTGCCAGAATCATACAATGATTCTGTTATTTCCTAAGGAAAGCCAATGATATGGTAGAACCTGGCTTTCCAAAAGAAAGTGATTGTTTCTTCCTTGACCGCTTTCTACGAGGATTGAGGATTGATAGAGATCTTCTCTTTGCTACTTAAAAATGATTCTCGCGAAACCATAGCAATCCAGTCGAAAACGCTGAAGAAAATCCAAAAAACACGGAGGAGTAATCACCGTGAATGTTAAGAGCAAAGTTCGATCGTTGTTTAGTGTGCTTCAAGCTAAACCTTTTCGGTCTATGAATCTTGAGCTTTAAGAATGCATCTGCTGATGAAGGATTCTCTAGCTATCTGTTTCATAGCTGATGAACTGAAAAGGAAAGAGGAACCAACTTATTCTATTCTCTGGCTATTGAAAGGCACACCATGCTCCAGCTCACAGCAGCTTGTTCGATCACAGGAACAAGTGAAGTATATCCACATAAAAAATAAAAAAATAAAAAAAAACTTCCAAATCTTGGAAAAAAAAGTGTAGTAATTACCACAAAATTCAGTCTAAATTCTACATCTTCATCACCACTTTCGAGTTAAAAAAACAAATGTTTGATAAATGAAACAGTTATATTTAGAACTATATCTATATATATGGGGCGTTTGATATGCGGGAATCAGTAAAAATCATATTCCCATGAAAGTGATAGAGGGTAATATGATTCCTAGAAATAATACATTACTGTGTTTGGTTACATACATGAATCTTTTTCAAATTCCAAAGAATATTACATTACTGTGTTTGGTTGTTTACATGGAAGAAGATCCATAATAATAATATTAATAAAATAATAATAATATTATTAATAAAAATAATAATAATAATAATATGATTAATAATAAATATAATAATAACAATAATAATAATAATAATAATAATAATAATATTTTCATGATTTTGAGAATCTTAAGAATTTGAATAACACCATATTGGGTGGTATTCAAATTACCTTAAAATGAGAGAAAGTGAATCCCATGGTAATCATTTTCCTGAGAATCTAAAAATTATAATTCTTGTACCAAATATAGTAATATTACAGATTCTCATTCTCATCTTTAAAATTACTGCATACCAAACGCCTCTTATATGGCTTAGAAAGCAAGTGGAACCAATAGTAAATATTTTATGCTTCTTCAGATTACTACTGCCCCACATTTCACTTTTGGAACCAATCTCTGTCTAAGGTTGCGATCACTAGAATTCCTTCTCTGGAGCAACAACGATGGAGCGGCTTTTATGGCATCTCTAATGATAATTTGCTTTTAGTAGTGGATGGACCATGCAATGGACCAGAAGAAACAGAATTACAAACAAGAAAAATGCTAAATATCATCAGTGACTAGTTTTAACCAGTCCAATTTTGTACGGTAATAACCAGTCGCCTCAAAATTGGTACGTGAATCATGGTTGGAACAACTAGCTAGAGATCGAAAAACGGGGCAAATAATTGTGTAAAGCAGCTAAAAACAATGGCCCATCGCGCCACTTGTATGAAATAATTTTGTGCATTTTGCTTTTAACCACTCAAGTTTTCAACGGGTTATTGTTTAGTACATATACTCAAAACTCGAACCATAATTTTATTATAGTGTTTTTCTCTTATAAAGAATTTAAATAAAAAAATTCACACTAATAATTCTCTCATAAAAAATTTAAATCAAAACTCAAATTATGGTTTAAATACACTTCTTAAATATATCTTTAAAAATTGTCACCTCAAACTACGTGCGTATTTAACTTAAAAAATTCTCATCAATAATTCTCTTTTATTATTATTATTTTTTTGACCGGTTAAAAATTGCGATGTCAAACTACATGGTTTTTATAAATTTGGCTCATAATTAGTTTAGCCAATTTTAACCCGAACCAAATTTAGATTAACCAACCATAAATATTGCCATGTCAAACTATACGGTTTTTATAAGCAATTTCTGTCTTGGTATCTTGGTTATAAATCCGTTGCGATCCAACATTATTGCCAGAACAAAGAAGACGAAAAAAGCTGAACTGAAACAAAATCATGGGTTAATCTCCTACTCAATCGTGTGCAAGAACCTGAAACTCTCCCAAAATGGGAATAGATTCTCATAGATTCTTTTGAAGAAGGTCCCGAAAAAATTGTACGGTCGATGAAGATCATTTTGCATATATGCAATTCAATACTGCGATAGCAACTTTTAGACCAACATTATTATCCTTTTTCTACTACCTCGTTCAATTCGTTAATTTAAATTTTTAATTTGAACTGATATGTGATTTTATATTAAAACTTTTAATTATAATAAAAAAATTAAATATAATTTTTTATAAAAATTTTTAATTATAATAAAATTTAAATTAAAAAATTAAATCGATAGAATGAACGAGTCTCGTATATATCTATATATATGTATCTTTTTCAGATGTTAATTAGTAATGAAATGACTGATGTACCAATCTTGTTTGAACGGTCTAAAAGACACAACAGAAATGATGGGGAATCTTGTGAAGTCATTTATGCATCACAAGCAACGCAACCAATGTATGCTGTAGCCAATTAATTTGCTCGCAATGTTCAATATTATTAAAAGTGTTAAAGTGGGTTTTCTTTAAAAGTGTTAAAGTGGGTTTTCTTTTTTATACTTAAATACTTTTAAAAAAAAATACTCAAATACTTTGCAGTTAAAGTAAAGAGAAGATAGAGATCAAAAGGCTATGGCTTAGGGCCGATGCTTATTCTATGTTTCTTGGTTATATCTGATTTTTTTTCTTTTATTATTTTTTATACAAATTGATGATCAGTCATGTTAGGGAAACAGCCTTTTTGCTTTATCAATAAATTTTGACCGGTGGAGTGCAGATTCGGCTACCAATATATTTATTTATGTCTGTTTATTTTACCGATTTGAGTTTAGAATTTGATTTTTGTTACAATAAAAAACTCTCAAAAATAGTCACATTAAATTTTTTTGTTACAGTAAAAAATTCTCACATAAAATCACATCTCAACTCGAATCATGCTCTGTTTTGTTTTGTTTTTTTTTTTGTTTTTCCCATGTTCTACTAATGTTATATTTTCTACGTTAATGTTTTTAAGGATTCTCATGCAGAGCCGTGGATATGATGTAAGCCACGTGTAACTAAGTCGAAACGACATATATTTAGAGATCGATTCTTTGCATGCATTAACGTTAAAGAAAAGAGAAGAAGCAATATTAACAATCTAAACTGTATTGGTGATAAGAAATAAGAACCGCAAACTGAGTTCAATCTGGCATTGTCACATAATTTATGGCCGGTATAAGTTACGAGTTTTATATGGCATAAAGTGGATGAGAAGATGATGAATAAATTGGGAAAGTCAAGCCAAGTTCAAAAGGGAAAAACCCCCAAAATTGAGAGGAAAAAAAAAACTATGATATCAAAATCTCAAATATTCAAGTGTGTCTGTTACAATAGCTAGTAGGGCATTTATAACTTGCATAGAATGATAAACAAAATAATTAACCACTAAGACATATGACATAATAAACAAATAGCGGAAACAAATAACAAAATAAAACTAAGTTGATAAGTTAAGACCAACGATAATACAAATAAATAAATACTTAAAAAAACTACTATTATAACTAAAACCTCTTATATCAGTTCACCTGTCTATAAAAGAACTCATTCTCAAGTTCGGAGGAAGCACGCAGAAATAAACTGTAGCAAGCGATACAACTATTGGAAAAGGCCACAAATGCCCACACAATTCGGTATTGATGTCTTCTTTACCCTTTTGTCTTCAATTCCTCAAACTTAGGCTCCCTTCATTTCGTTAATTTGTATCACAACTGGTACAGTATTTTCTTTCATAAAAATTTAAATTCAACTTTTCCTGTTACAGTGTTTTTTCTCACATAAATTCATTTTTAATTCAAGTTCTTAACTCAAACGAACGAAACAAACGAGAAATTAATGTGTAGTGTAGTAACAAATTGACCGACGATAATCAATGGCTTCACCACCAAATTCTTCAAAAATAATGCTCTCAATTACTGGCTTTCCAAAGTTGTGCTCCAATTGTTCCAATTTCTTCTTCAACTTCATTTTTTGGTACACCATAAGCTTCAACAACTATTTTAAGACCAATTTGATCATCCAATTCTTCAATTTTGACCCCATCAAAATGCTCCGCAAACTTCCACTTAAGCATGTTTCCAACATTAATAATTATCTCTCAACCTAACACATATGCATTTTAACTTATTTTCCTCAAAATGATACAAACTCTATCATTTTTGTGTGCTTCCTGTACGTGTTATGGTACTGGGAGAGGAAGCGGGCACAAATCTGACTTCAGGCAAGGACAGTCGTCATTTTATTTTATTTTATTGTAATTTTAAAAATGCAAATTCAAAAATATCATTGTATTTAAAAAAAAAAAAGAAAAAAAAAATAAGAGAAATGATATGTGGTTATATCGCATCAAATTTACAAAAGTTAAAAACAAATCTTACACCAAATGTCTTTTGGAAAATATTAGAAAATATTGGGGAATATTGGAATATTTTGAGAAGTTATAAAAGAACACTAGTTAATGTGCTTTGTTTTCTACTTTATGTATATCTTATTAGATGAATAATAGATTCTTGAAACCTAATATCCGATTTTTTCTAGCATAATCTCCTTTTACACTTTGCAGAAAAGCCTTTTTCTTTCCTTAACACTCCGTTGGTAAGGGGGAAAAAAAAATAGGGGGGAGAAAAACCTGCAAGAGAGAGAAAATTGTTTTTCCTTCATCTTATTTAAATGATAACAAAAAAGTATTTGATTATTATGTAAAGTATAACAAGTTTTCTCTCTAAAGTCTCTCCACTTTTAGAAGGATAAAAATAGCGGGATTCATAGATCCTTTCATCCCTTTATTTTTCTTTTTTCTTCACTATTCTCTTATTTTAAACAACTTTTCATTTAGTTTGCTGATTTAAATTTTTAATTCAAGTTAAGATGTGATTTTTTATGAGAGCTTTTTACTGTAGTAAAAAAATTAAGTTCGACTATTTTTAATAATTTTTTACTGTAACAAAATTTAAATTAAAAACTTAAATCGATAAAATGATCATGACCTTACAATTTTATTCTCTTCAAATCCTTACTCTATACGCTCTCACTATCGACACAAGACTGATCGCAATTGGACTACCAAAGCTAGTCCGATCATGCAAACACGTTGATTCTTCTTTAATTTTTTTTTTTTTTTCACTCATTTCATTTAGTTTTTAAACTATTTTATAAAATTTTAAATAATTAATGGATAATGGCTAAAATAATATTTAAATAATAATTGTCGGGAGTATTTTTATTATGTCAAGATCTTTGAACAATGAAAGGATTTGTTATCTACCTCTTTTGAAATACTTAAAAGATGATTTTAGTCTAAAAATAAAAAGAATACTTTTTAATTGTGAAAACCGCAGGGACAAACATGAAATTTGAGTAAACCTCAAGAAATACTTTCGATTTTATCGTTTTTTAACATAGAACAAAATTGTCTTTCTCCGCTCTTAAACAATCTGTTCTCAGCAAGATTAACAAATATATATATATATATATATATGTTCTTAGCAAAAAATTTGTTCTCGGGATTTCAGGCACCAACCACATGGTTCCAGAAAATTCTTGCTCAGCATATAGACAGTCTGTACCGCACATATTTCTCGTACATAATTATCTTTCCAAAAATAAATTGGTCAACAGGTAGTAAATAGAAGAAAACAAATGGGAGCCAACACAGCTAGTTAAAAAAAAAAACAAAAATAAATAAATATATAAATAAAATAAGGTTTCAACACAAAGGTGACGCTCTAACAACTAACAAACAAGCTTGCCGCAACAAAAATGTGATGTTGATAATTATCAACAAATAAATGTTAAGAGGTTACCTCCAAAATATTTTGAGATTGGGTACATAATGTGGAACATGAAGCAAAATACCTATACACGAAAAAATAATCGACTATTGGCAGCAACTGCAAAATTTACCACCATAGAATATCTGATGAACTACCACAGAAATCTTAACTGCCACAGAAATCTTTTTTCCTATATATCCCCTAATTTCTCTACTTAATTACTTTTAGCTTATGTTTTAAGTATCAAAATACTCGAAACCCGAACCTGCTAACCGGTTTGAGGAGCACAGCTAATGTTTGAAATGGGAGACTGAAGCAACTAATAACTTGTTTGGAAGCTCGACAAAAAGATCTTCAGCGTTTCGTAGGTCATGAACACAATGCCTACACCCGGAACAACCTTGTAGTATTCTGGCAGAATGCCTCTATACAAGCCTCGCAGGCCTTCGGTCTTGAATATATGCCTAAATGCCCCGGATAAGCCATTATTATAGACTCGTGCTCGACCACAAGCCCCCTCCAGTTGCATCCGTCGTCTCACAAGATCAAGAGGGAATGTTGCTGAAAGACAATAGGAAGAAAAATTAAGAACCACACAGATATTAGAAAAGCCCACAATTTATACGAGTCTCCCTATCCTATTTTATTTGGTTTTATTTGATTCACTACCCTCCGTTCTTGTTCCTTTCACTCGATGTCAAAGACCACATTATTAAGCCGTTTACATCATCAATCCTTGAATTCAGGCCCACAAAACTCTATTTGTCCTCCTATAAACCACACATTTAAGTAGTGGCCCTGCAATCTTTAAACCTCAGTTATCATTTTTCCATCCTTTTCTACCAATTACTTGTATGAACCAATTCTATCGCCGGTAAAAAGCCTAAAATTGTAAATTATTTTAAGCATTGGCCAATTATCATGGCCTTATCTTTGTCTGTATGGGGTATAACCAAAGAAACATTTCTCTCCTTTCTTTGCACAGATATCAAAACAATGAAGAGAAGCCAGATTAAGAACTTTAAGCCAAAACTCTGAACAAAAATCATAATGAAAAGTGAGGGGAACTTACCTGTTGATGATGCGATGCCTGAAAGACTACCGCAAGCAAGACTGACCATGACAGTTGAATCATTAGGCCTGAATCAAAAGGATCAGTGAGAATATTACAACCAAATGCACCAACAGAGTATGACAAGACCATTGAACAATTATGTCCCATTTCATCAATTCCTTTCATTTTATTTATTTACTTTTTCCTCAAAATCAAATCTTATCAAGTTACCTATGAAAAGATGCGGTTCTCACCTATGAGATTGCCAATAAGATCTTAATGTCTCATAAACAGAGAAACTTATTGCTATACTTGGTCCTACACCCTGCATCAAGAAAAAAAATAATAAAAAAAAGGCAATGCAATTGCAAATCAACACCAATGTAACTATTCAATAAGAGCATCTCCAATGTAATGTTATAATTGACATGCCAATTGTAAATTTAACACTTGAGTGCAAAAAATACTCTCCAATGCAATGCTATTTATTGTGGCAAATTTGCCATATGCTATACTTTGTGGTAAATTTCCCACCAAGTATAGCATATGGCAAATTTGGCACTTGATTCCTATCAATTGATATGGTTGCTTTTTCATTCAATCATTACAACTTTTGCTTTTTAAAATTAAAAATTAACTTTTACAACTTTCAAAGTTTAATGAATATAGGAAAAGTAGATTTCAGCTTTTGAAATAGCATTACGCATTGAAACACAAATGAAAATAACAAATGCTATCATACTTTTTTGTGTCAAATATACAATTGGCATTAGCATTTGCATTGGAGATGGTCTAAGGACAGATTTAAGCACATCAGAACACCAAAATAAATATGAATAAATGAATCGAAGGATGATGGAAATATACCAGCAATGTTGGTCCAAGTCCTTTATATAAGCCCAAAAAACCTTCTTCTCTGCAAATGGTATCAAACGCATGCCAGATGCCCCTATAGTATATCACGTTTCTCTGCGAAGTTTAAAAACTGGTGAAAATCAAACTGAAAAGACATAAGGAATGGGAAGGTTATAGAGTATAGACCACAACAACAACTAAAATAATCATTAACAAGAATCTCCAAGAGTGATATAAAGTATTTTTCCCTAGTTACCTGTGCTGCAAGCCGCGTCCTCACAAGATCCAATGGATACGTTGCCGAGGCAGCCGTAATTCCTGCCATTCCACCGCCAACAAAGTGTACAAAAAGGTCTGTACTTGCATTACCCTTGTAATTTTCTCTGAGAATGGAATGCAGCAACTGAAAAAACAGAAGACAAATATGGTTAAATTAGCTTAGATGAATAAGATATTAAAAATAAATAAAAAATAACTGCACAGTTGTATTAGAAAGACAGCTGCCCTTACATTCTTGTAGCGTTCATAAGCATAGAAGTTCACAGAAGAATAAGGAAGACGGTGAGCAATTGTAACCAGATTGCCTCTCCAAAATGCTCTAAAACCTTCTTCATTTAAAATACGAGAAGCTTCATGCCATATGCTTGCCTTACTCAATGCTGCAACATCAGAGTGCATTCCTTGCACCTAAAGCATACAATACAAAACGAAATGAAATTCCAAACCGCAAAGTAAGACATATTGTCCAACGAGTTCAAGAATAGAAATGAAAGAAACCAGTACACAGGTGACGTCTTAGAAACTTTAGGAACGCCATCATTACTAATATCCCACAAGACAAAAGCAAAGATAGATGGTCAACATTTCTCAAAATGATTGTTGAACATACAGTGTTCAAATCTTCAAAACAGGACTAGTAATAATTCTCATCTCTCCGGCTCTTAATCATTTCTGAGGAAGAAATCACAGAACCAACAGTCCTAAAACAACCCGAAACCTCATTGACAACCAGTTAAAATACAATGTCTCACTAAGAGTAAGTAGTACTCTGCTCAAACCAACATATTTAAAAATTAAAAATGTTAATGAAAAAAGGTCAAGGTTAGAGATTTCCACAAATGAGAACACTTCCAAGAGACTCATATACATCAGAACTCATGACAATACTACCAATAATCCATTTTGGGCCTTAAGTAATAAGTTCGCGCCTTCTACCATCTTTACAATATCTTAGACAACCCATTCTTCTCACTGAGTATTCCAAATTGACAACCTCAACGCTCAAACACACACACAAAAGAGGGTTGAAAAAAGAAGGGAAAAAAGAGTCCCAATTTCCCCATTTTGAACAATGAAGAGTGCATTTTGATGCCAGAATTTCCAAAAACAAGAGGAGAAAAAAAAAACACCAGAACAGCAAACCCCCCAAATCTCCACCAATTAAGAATATCTGAATAGAACACATCGTAAAAAGACGCCAGATTTAAAAAAAAAAAAAAAAAAAGAACAGAATAAACAATCTCGGAAACTACGATAGTCGAACACAAGGAAGAGGATCCAAAAACCGAACCTGAAAGAGAATAGTGAGGCGAGCGAGAGGAGCCGTGCAGGTCTTGCTGAAAGCGCCGGCGATTCCTCCGGCGAGAAAGTGCACCGTCCCCATGTGCGATTGCTGATTCAACGACTGCTTCACCTGGCTCTGTTGTTGTTGTTGTTGTTGTTGAGGCTGTGGCTCAAACAATTTTCTCGCGCCGCCATCGACGACGCTTCCGTGAGCTGAGTTAAGAGCTCTTTGCCCAACTCGAGCTTCCATTTTCATGCCCGAACTTTTCTTCTCTTCTTCTTCTTCCTCTTCTCTCTCAGAATCGTCGATTTCTGTGAGAAGTTGGTGGGTTAAGAACTCGTTCTCGCATGGGTTTTGTATGTGGAATCCGTTGAATTTGAATTGGTAAGGAAAATGAATGAGAAAATTTCGAGGGAAACGAGCGAGAAAAATCCCCCTCCTTTTCTTTGCTTACGCCTTACAGTGGGGAAGGAAGAAAAACCCTAATGGGAAATGTGAACTTGACTGTTGTTTCGTTATTACCATTTACCATGCCTCTTCGCCTTTGTCACCGTCCAAAATATTTTATTATTCAAAATTAAAATAATTAAATCATTTAATTAATTTGTTTCGTTATTACCGTGGCTGATGGCTCTTAGCCTTTGTCATCATCCAAAATACTCGGTATTTTTATTTCACAATTTAATTTTTTAATTTAAATTGTATGTAAGAAAAAAAAATGTAATTTTTATAAGAGAAAATATTATATCAATACAATTTGAGTTGTAAAAAAATGAGATCTTTATTATTCAAATTAAAATAATTAATTCATTAATATAAAAAATTAATGATTAATTATAAAAATTTCTCTTAAACTATGACTCGTCTAACACTTTTGTCGTATTTAGAATTGTTCTTATTTTTTTCATATTTTTTGAGAAAAAAATGAAAACGATTTCAAAACAGTGTTTGGTACAATTAAAGATAAAAAATAAAAATAAAAATGATTTTTTTGTTTAGTGTAAAATGAGAAAGAAATGAAAAATGATTTTAGCCGTTTTTCATTTTTTGTTTTCATTTTCTCCTCTCTCGAGCAGAGAGAGACATTAATAGATTTTTTTTATACTGTAAATAATCTCTTAATAACAACTCAAGTTCTTAACTTGAGTTGTGATACAAACATAGTAGTGTTTAAGTTTAATTTAGAGAAATGATCCTCTAACAATGATAAAGATTTTGGTGTAAATGTGATTGAGTGCTTGAAAATAAAATCAGTAGAGGTCTTTTTCTTTCTATGGAAAAAAGTAGAGTTTTGTTATGGTAAAAGTTTTTAATTCAAACATATGTTAGTTGCCTAAGTCCTGTTTTAATTTCTATTTAAAAATAAAGTGCAGTAAAAACTTTCTTTATAGTTCTTCATTAGTCATTTATTCACCTTTTTGTTTTAAGGCTTCGAATAAAATGGATGAAAATGATGTTTTTATCAGAATTTATTGACCATCAATGAATTTACCTTAAAATAAACGTGTTTAAAATGTTAAAGACTAATATGCTCTTGATTTACTTTTAAGAGTATGCTTACTTACCAAGATTGAAGAATAGGGGAAGAGAATGTGAGTCAATCTCATATTTATTTGTTCTTTTTTATTCTAAAATAGGAGTGAGATTGGTGGGTCTCACTCAAATTTAAGATTGAAAAATGGAATTAGCACTCCTATACCCCCTTAATATTGAGACTCACATTCCTTATATTAACATTAAATTACTATTATACCCCTATTTTACTTATAAATATAAAAATAAAATTTAAAAAATAATGATTACAACCTATATTTATTATTTTATTTGGCTAATATTATATTATTGTGAACTTAATAATAAATATGTACTTTATTTTGTTTAATAAATTAATAATATATTTTAATTTTATAACATTATTTTTTATTTTTGTTTATTTTATTTAAATTTTGACAATTTATTTTCATATTTTAAATAAGTGTACAATTTATATTTATTATTTTATTACTCTATTATTATACTAAATATTTTAATTATGATTAATTTTAATATAATAAGTACACAATTTATTTTTAAAATTAAAAATATAAAATTGACTTAAAGGGTATATTAATACTTTTACACTAGTTCATTCTAATTTTTGGTGTAAGTAACTATATGAATGAGATTTGAAGTTATTTTGATTTTTGAATCCTGTCACTAAGTAAATAAGCTATTTTGACTCTAATCCTGCTAACTCCGATTCATATTTATTCCGATTATGCGTATCTAAACATCACATTAGAGAAAAAAATTGTGCATGGCCCTTGAACTCAAAAGTTGGCCAGTACAATTATATATCTAGAAAAAAAAAAAAAAAAAAAAGGATTGTGCAATGATACTTTTGTGCTTTGCTGGTGTTAAGGACCAAACCAAATGAATTCTCAAATTCTTAGAAAAAAAATTCTCAAAAAAAATATCAACAACTGATTGATTAATTCTTAAAAATAAATAGGTAGATAAATAATATTTAAACAAACGTTTTTTCCCTTTAAAAAAAAAACATAGGGCTTTTTCGTTGTTTAGACTTTAGACTGGTTCTTTATTCTTCCAAACTCAAAAAGGTGTCGTGGTTTAAAAAAAAAAATCTAAACTCAAAGGACACGCTACAACAAAACAAAAACAAGGACACCCTCAAAGGACACGCTTTAAATTTGGACTATTTTTCTCCCACTTCCTACCAAATTGATTTGGGTTATTTTACCATTTTATATTTACTATTTTATAACATACATGTCGATTTTGTTTAGAAAATATAGATGTGATTTGAAGTCCTGCATTTTTATACCATCATATGTACATTTAGATACACAAAATATCCAAAATAACTTAAAAATACTTGAGATGCCCTTCAAATGAAAAGAAAAACTATGAACTTTTGAAAGAAAGTTTCGATACAAATTATTTATTTAACTTTTTCTCAAGTTTTTATTTTTTTATTTTTTTTTCTTTTCTCTTTCTAAGGGTATTTACTGTTTTAGACATTTTAATATCGAAATTGAGTGTTGATTGAGAAAATATATCAATGCATATTTGCATGTTTTTTTCACAACTTAAATTACAATTCAAATTTTTTCTCTCACAAAAATTTAAATTCAATTCTTTTACTATAGTGTTTTTCTCACATAAAATTCAATTTTAAACCCTAATTTTCAACTCAAGTTGTGGAAAAAAAAAAATGATCAAGAATTCAAAGGTCAATATCCCAAGTTACCTTTTTTTCTTAAGAATAATATCTTTTGCTTTCCACTTTCTCCCTCTCTATTTTTCATGGCAATTGCTACATTCAATTCTCGTTACTCTTCTGGTATTTTTTCTTCACCATTTTTTACTGGACTATTGACCATCCAAGTAAAAGAATAAATATAAGTACAGAGAACTAGAAGAATTGGTCATGTTTTTGTGTTTGGTTCGCATTGATATTTTCCATTCTAAAGACTATAAAATAAATAGAGAAAGAAAACCACAGAAATTAGTCAAGTTCATATTTGAATGTGCTCAATTTGTGGTCACATGGCAATTGGTGATAATCTATAATTTTTGTCTTTACATCGTTATATTTATTTTTATGATTATTATCTCTAATCCCTAACATGCATAAAAAGACAAGAAAGGTTTTTTCTTCTTGCACTAAACGATGCCACGTGTTGATTTTTTCTCTTTTTTTATTTAACTTCTACTCCTTTTTTTTTTTTTTTGCTTTTTATTTTCATATTAGCTTTTTAGTTATTTTGTCAAGTGCTTTGTGTTCATAAACACCTTATTTATATCTTTCTTTCAATATTTTTATTTTTCTCTTTCTTTTAATTAAAATAAACCCTTTTAAATACGTCATTACTTAAGCATTTTTTAATCAAAAGTGAGTTTCTCTAGTAGGAACATAAAAATATGAGCTATCGGTATGTTCTACTTTTAACTGTTAAATATGTGTTAAAAACTGTATATTCTACATACATTTAGTTGATATGATTTTAATTAAATTTAATGGTTAGAAAATGACCCTACCAGTAGAGATGTCCTATATAACTTTATTTTTTTTATGTCCTATATAACTTTATTTTTTTTCTTTTTTCAATTTGATTTTTTAAAAATACATTTTTTTTCTCTTACTCCAATTATCGAACTTGGCTTTTAAGAACGCTACATGTTTTAATACGGGATCTAACTTACAAAATTATATAACATGGCTCAGCTAGTTACATATATAAATTTAAATCTAATCTAAGTTTTTAGTCATGTATCACACTCTCCTTATTTCCTTCATTTTTTTTGTTTTTCTTTTTTACCGTTTTTTTTTCCTTTTTCTCTGTTTTTTTTTTTTTTTTTTCATTTAAGACTCCTATACAATTTATTTTTTTAGATGTGTCTTTTCATACACGTTTTGTTCGCTTTTATTGTTTTAAAATAAATTTTAACTTAACTTCGCCAAATGCTCATGTAGATGCTCCGTTCATTTCGCTGATTCGAGTTTAAAATTTGAATTTTATTACAGTAAAAAGCTCTCAGAAACAGTCACATCTAACTTTTTTGCTACAGTAAAAAGCTCTCACACAAAATCATAAATCAACTCAAATTACAAACTCGAATCAGCGAAATGAACGGGCCCTTTAATTCTCTTTTGATGCGTTTTTTGAAATATTTTTTCCCCTTTCTCGATCATATTAAATATTTTTTTTCTTATTATATCAGAAGTGATCCTTATAAATATTATAATTATTTTAATTAGCCCACTAAAGCAATTTTTTCTTAAACATGTATTTTTTCACATAATCCTTGCACTTTTTTTCTTGATAACTACTCTTTTTTCTAAATTCTCACTGTTGAGGTAAGTTTTATTAAATATGTCCCTATTATGCTACTTTTTCTTTTTTTTTCTCCGTCTTGCCTAATAAATAATCTCAACATATATACAACAACGGAAGAAAAGCCTCTCTGTCGTTTAACCAAAAGACATTGTTCAGCATAAACGACATATCATTTTGACGTTATACCATAAACGACAATGTTGTGTCATAAATCACATAAAACACATCATTTTGAAGTAACTATAAAGTACGGTGCTGTTTTAATGTTGGTTAACTTGAAGACGACATATCGTGACGTGTTTCAGATTTGTAGGCCCCGTTCATTTCGCTGATTCGAGTTTAGAATTCGAGTTTTGCTATAGTAAAAAGCTCTCACAAACAATCACATCTAACTTTTTTGCTACAGTAAAAAGCTCTCACATAAAATCACATCTCAACTCGAATTAAAAATTTAAATCAGCGAACTAAACGGGCCCTACGGTTATTTATGTTATGGGAAAGATATGCCGTTTTTACTCAAAATTTCTCGTCAATTGACGTAAAAAACGACATCCTTTGTGGATTTATCCCAGACGTACACTAAATACACCTAAAAAAAAAAAAAAAAAAAAAAAAAAAAAAAAAAAAAAAGAA